GATAACTTAGAGGAATACCATGATTGATGTGTAAGGTCTTCCTAATGAGATTTTAAATGCTTTGCAGCTGAATGAATTTCCTTTATTGATTTATTGTTGTGTCCTTACAAATGAGGGCTTAATGTTAAGTATAGTGACAAGTATTAGAAAAACATGCAAACAGGACACACTCATCAGTATAAATGCATCATATAAAGAAAAAGGAAGTTAGGTTAGACACCATGAGGGAAGTTGTTGAGTAAGAGTCACATAGTACATTTAATATTTGTGGGCGTTTATTTAAACATAACATACAGAAAGTTTATCTTTGCCAAGTGTTGTGGCGCACGCCTTTGATCCCAGCACTTGGGAGGCAGAGGCAGGTGGATCTCTGAGTTATAGGCCAGCTTGGGCTACAGTTGAGACCCTGTCTCAAAAAGACCAAAAAAGAAAAAAAAGTTTATCTTATTTATCATTTTATTCAACTATTTTTGCTAGCAGTAAGTCTTACACAAAGGTGTTTTGAGTTTTCCAGGCTTTCACTATGTGAACATAGCAGCTTCTGCGGTGTTCTGCTTGTAGTCAACATGATGCTGAATTTTTTTGCCATGCCAAGTTTCCTGTTGACTCCAGATTTCTGTCATTGGACATTTAGATGTTTCATGCTATATTAAACCAAGTGGACTTACAAGAATTTGTTAAACTGTCTTTTAAGTTGCCCTCTTACATTTTATGGAGAAGGTACAGTGGTGTTAAGTGTTCTAAACTTAGTTGCTTATGAAGATAGGAATAAAAGCTAATTATTTTATAGAGTCTCAGTAACCATATAGAGAGCAAAGATGAGTTTGATCTAGAGAATCTAAACGTCTCCGTTAAAATATTTGTTTCATGCTTCTCTTGTTTTCCTAGTTGCTTTTAAAACAGTAAATTGAGATGCCATCTTAGAAAATGATAAAGAACTATTTATGCAACTCATTTTGGCATTCATTTTAGCAGAGCGTCTCTGAGAGTCTTTCACTGAAATGTGTTGGTCATTTACCAGAGGCTGCAGGTGGCAGAGGGGAAAATCGAGCAAATGGGCAAGTAGAAGGTAAGAGTTGTATTTCATTCTTTAAGAGTCCTGGCAGAATGTGTATTTAAAATGTGAGCACTGCTATATTGTAATAGCTGAAGAATACTAAGTGCATAGTTAGTAAAAGCAAAGTCAAACGACAGTAAGTTGTGCATCTCTTATCCACTTTCATCCACAGAACAGACTTGAGAGTTACTAAGGAGCCGCAGGTCTCTCCAGTTCAGGACGTCCTGAGACTGGAGGGAAGTTAGGAAACAAGGGGAAGGGAATGGACAGTAAAGGCAGAGAGAGCCGAGAGTAAATGAAGGGCAAAAGAAGTGTGCACATGTAGTGGAGGTGGGAAAATACGGTGATTCTTAGAGAAAAAGATCATGACTTTCGAGATACAGGAAGAATATAAAGTGACATTCCGCTCTTCTCTCTCACTGTTGGAAAACATCTAGGATTAAAGCACCTGATCATACAGAGGTAAATTCTCTTAGTCCCATAGATAAGCATACACCTGTGTATTACGTACTTTCCTTGTCATTGTGAGCAAATGATAGACAAGATTCAACTTAAGGTTTATTTGGCTTGGCAGTTTAAGAAGGGATGTAGGGGCCAGGGAGATGGCTCAGTGGTTAAGAACACTGACTGCTCTTGGAGAGGACCCAGGTTCAAATCCCAGTGCCCACGTGGTGGCTAAGCTCCAGTTCCAGAGGATTCCATGCCTCTTCTGACCTTTGTAAGCATTGCACACACTTACATACATGTAGGCAATGCATTCATACACATAAAATAAAAATAAATTAAAATTTTCCAGAAATATATTTTTAAAAAAATGAAGGAATCTAATCCTTCACCAGAGGGCCAGCGTGGTGGTGGCAGTGTAGACAGCTGGTCACAGTGAGTCTGAAGTTAGGAAATAGAGAACTGTCGGGATTTGAGGCCATTGAAGCCTCAGTGCCCACCACCACTGACTCTTCTCTAGCAAAGCTCCACCCCCCTGAAGAGTAACGCCACCAGCTGGGGACCAGGTGTTCAAGCACCCGAGCCTGTGCAGGATGTTTTACATGCAAGCTATAACATGTGTGGTCACACGTACACGCAATTTATTGTCCTATAAAATGTTTGTATTTCACACAATTTTACATAAACCAGAATACGAGAAATGAAAGGAAAAAATAATGGCCTTAGTTACAAAGAGCTCGGGAAAGCCGTAGCCTGCCAAAAAGTTCATTAGGGAGATTGTGAATTCTGCTGTTTCTCTGACAGAATGATAGGAACCTCAGGCTAGCTTCTAAAGGTAAGTTGAGGAATAGGAGTTTGGACATAGACTCATTATAGATCATAATTTCTCTGACTTTAGTGATAATCAACTACTGGTATTGCTGCAGAAGTAACTTCACCTTCAGAGGAGTAAGAGACGCTTTATTCTGGATTACACAACAGATTATAATTATGCCTCTTAAGACTATAGTAAATGAACTTAAAATTTTCTTTAAGCTGTTGTTTTATCAAGATTATAAAAAGGGTTATTTATTCCTGAGTTTTCAGCTAACTCATTGGATACAGTAGTTTCTGAAGAGCTCTTGTAATTGTTTCATCAGGAATGGTATTATTAGGAATAAAAGTGCAACATTTTTCATTAAGCATAATACAAATACCTTTTGTTAGCATTTTAAGTGTGCTCTTGGTTTTTTTGTTTGGTTGGTTTTGGTTTTTCTGTTTTTAATTATTTAGCTGGTGGCGTCCAACTGGCCAGATATTCCTCAAAGGCATTGGTATAACTGATAAACCTTTGTTGATTAATTTACATTTTAGTTTATTGACCATTGGAATATAGTGTATTTGAAATTAATAGTTACTTGGTTTCTCGTCTTAAATTCATTTGGAATTTTCCTGGGGACTCTTTCAGAGTTAAAATGGACATTAAAGGACCTAGGTAATGTCCTTGTGGCTCTGGGCTTAGTTTTGCTAAAGGGAGACTATTTGAAGGCAGGGTAAATGGTATAGCCAACTTAACCAGCACACAGGCCCCATACAAGTTGGGTGATAGACTTGAACAAAGGTCCTCCCTCCACAGCACCCTTAAATGTCAGCTCAGGAGACACTGGGTGCAGAGTAATTGCTATTTGCCCCTTCATTGCTGGAGACATTCAGAACATGGGTTTGGGCTTTATAATCCCCCATAGGGTAAGAAAATCCACCCTCTCTGTCATGTGAGACTTGAGGAGTGATTTACCTTCCCTAGTGATAACAGAGAGGTTCCAGTGTTCCAGTGGGCCAGCCTTGTATATCTGGAACAGGAGCAACAAACACTAGCAAGTCATATCTCCCCATCGGTTCTTATCCTGCAACAGGGCCATCATGTAGTTTACTTGGGTGAGGTCTGTGTCCCATTTAACTGTTAAAGGTACTACTTTGAGCCTGGGGCTAACCTACCAGCAGGTGTCACAGTTACTGTTACTGAGTGTATGTACTATAAATTTAACCTATTTTACCCCAGTATTCAGTCCTTTATATCTAGTTTTTATTTCTAAGGTCTGTTCATATCCTTGATCTTAACTATATATATATTTGTTTTCTGTTTTTTCCTCATGATGTAAAACTTGTCAGGCATCGGATTTTTATAGTATA